CTTTTAATGCAGAAAATGATTTTCAATGCTATGCAGAAGATTAAGGCGCTTCATCACAACATATAATGGCCTATCAAGGGATTAAGTGCTCAAGCTAAAAACCTAATCATCTACACACCCACAACCTAAACTAAATTTATGTCTTCATCAAATTATATCTAAGTCTTCATCAAATCCACCAAGTGCTTCAATTCGAACTATTAGGAATCTCACTGTTACCCTGACTATTTGGTGGATTTTGACTCATTCTTACTACTTGTCCACTCCTTAATCTCATACACTCATCGAACTAGCCAGACTTTGTGTATAAAACACAATATCAAGACCCCTACCTGGCGCGCCAATTTGTTTCTGGTGAAAATTTGATTGATTTCGATTTTTCAAAGACTTAGGTTCTAACCAAATTTTAACCACGTAGATTCTTTTTATTTAGGCTAGCAAACGGTTTTCAATCGAAAAAATGCATGAGAATCGAAAATCTCATGGTTTCGAAAAATGTAAACAACACAACTTAGTATGCAAATCGAAAGTACTATTTTTGGTATTTTTCATTAAGAGACGTGAAGTAAAGAAAACAGTAAAAAATGTCGAATCGAAAGATAGTGCAGAATATTAAATTGCAGAAAAATGTAAAGTGCGGAAATCTCAAATTTGCATTAAGTGTAAAAGGCAAGGAATCGAAATTGCAAAAATGTAAATAGCAGGAAATCAAAATTGCAAAAATGTAAATAGCAGGAAATCAAAATTGCAGGAATGTAAATGGCGAGGATCTTAAACGCATAACCTTAACTTGCATAAAAGTAAATGACAAGGAACCGAAAGGACAAAACTTAAAGTTTGACAAACGTAAACTGCAAAGAAAGTTAATTACCAGGGAAAGTAGAGAAAGCGATAAACATAATCAATGAAAACGGAAATCCAGAGCATTAGAAACTTCATGATGCGTCGTTCTCCTGTAGATTGTTCACTTGCGCTTCTGTTGTCTCTGTCAATTTCCCCTTCTTCTTCATGCTTCATTCTATTTATAGGTCCGCTTTAACGTAACTTCCTAAGAGCAGTTTAGAAAATTGCTACCACATTCCATGTACACGTACGTTAACTATCTGTTTCTTTTTATCTTAGCTGCAGTTTTGAGAAAACTGTTTCCCACGTTCCATGTGCGTGATAATCGTTCCTTTAATCTTGACTTCAACCATCGAAAACTATTTCTGGCTTTCCATTTAACTTCATACTCAATACCTTTCATCGATTTTTACTTCCCCATGATCATCGAATTTCCTGTATTTCTTTCGATTCTCGATTCCAATTCTCGAATTTCTTTAGCAATAACCATCGAATCCTCTTCTTTTGTTTCATCAATTTTTGTGTCGATTTTTTACAAACAGGGTGAAATAAATGTTAAATGTGTGATTATCAAATTGTACGAAAATTTGTATTATAAAGAAACCGCTACAAACAAAAACAAATATTTTCCAATAGAATTATTTGCAATTTACTTTCGTGGTACTTTATCATTCTCACATTTTATTTTAAATGTTTGAAATAATATTCAAAAACAAAATTGTGTGTCACCCATCTTTAATTGAGATATATTATGTTTTAAGTATTGAATAATTAATATAAAACAAACTCATAATATTTAAATAATTCATCACGTTTTTTAAAAATAAATTTATTTAATCAAATAACTTGCCGCATTTTATTTTAAATATTTCAAATCATATTAAAAATCAAAATTTATTTGTCACCAAATTTTTAATTAAAATATATTATATTTGTTGAAAATATTACTTTATTATCTTTTATTTAAATTAGATATTAAGATATTTTATTATCTTTTAAAAGAAAATAAAAAGATATTAAATTATTATTTTGATTTAGACAGTTATGATTAAAATATTATTAATATTTGATATTTGTAATATTTTTACTCTATATACATAAAAGTAAATAAATTAAAAATATACTCACATTACACAAAATCCTTAAAATTCTCATGTTAGTATGAAATAAACTCATATAATATCTAAACGATTCATCACTAATTTTAAAAATAAATTTATTTAATCGAATAATAAATAATTTACACTATTAATACATTATAAATGTTACTACAATTATGGGTTAGATTGATAAAGTTTTGTATTTTCACAATAATGCAAATGAAGATACAATGGACACATGTGTCATAACACAGACTCGATGTTTATAATAGAAAAAGTATTTTCGATTATTTTATACTTAGATATTTTAGAACAACCAATACAACTATACTTTATATTTGATTCTCTCTATATAAATATTTTACCATAGATTGCGTTTTCGATATAACGACACTTAGAAGCTTTATGGAAACTGCTTTCTAATAAATTTTAAACTTTTAATAGATATATTAATGAGGAAAAGAATAAACCCACTTTGTTAAAAATAAGAAAGTTAGTCAACGAATAATAAAAAAAAACATACAAATTTATAATTTAAACTTTTCCTTTTTATTGAAAATAATGTTATACATTTTTATATACTCAACTTATAATTTACTTTTTTTAATGTTATTTTTCATAAATTTTATTTATTATTTTTAGAATATTTTAACAATATTTTTTTAAATTAATGGTTGGATTTGTAACTTAAATCTTATATCAAATAAAGATTAATGTTAATTTATAAATATATTTTTTTATTAATTTATTGAGATATTTTTTAATAATAAATTATAATGAATTATAATTTTAAAATAAATAATATTCAAAATGTCATCATATCCTAACAAAATTAAGAATAATAATTTATAAATATTTTATTTCTTTAACCTATCCACCAAAATGTATTTTAAGAGAAAATCTGAATAGATTAAAATTTAAAAATAAAGAATATCCTACCTCCAATTATTAACCATTAAAAATATCAGTTACGATCTTTTACATATTACTTATATTTTTCATCTAAATTCACAATTTTCTATTCAATATCTCTTTTGTTTTTGGTATATACTACGGTGGTACTAAGAATTCTCATTTGACCCTTTGTTTGGTAAAAAGAATAGAAAGAGATGAGTTTGCATCTCCATGTTCCACGTATTTGTCTGGTAAAAAAGCAGGATGACCACATGTAGGAGTGTGCACGCGAAACGCATGTAGGCATTGGAAAAGCAGTTGGAAAGTTATGATTGGATGGTTGAAGATACTAGTCTGACAGATCTGAGTGGGCCCTACTAAATATTCCAGAACGCAGAAGAGTCACGTGGGGAGCCCCACGCACGTTGGAGCCTTCTCCGCTTCCAAACCAACATCATCGTGGCAAGTCTGTACAATCATAACCGACAACCATTTTTTACCCGTCACTCACTCCTGTTTGGATCAAATATTCTTCTCTTCCACTTCCTACCCCACCTCTTCTAATCTTACAAAATATCCTCCTTATGCAAACGTGCTTCTTAAGACTTATATAATACAACCAAACAAAGCTATTAGTTTCTTTAATATCAGAAAATTGATCACATTTCACAACAATTTATATTAAAACAGAACATGTTGCAGAGGTAGATCATGACATCGTCCTGGAATTTAATAATATATTATTAATAAATAATATTAAAACGTAAAAGAAGAATAATGTCTTTTAAAAATTTAGAGGAATATGATTGTTTATTTTATTAAAATTTTAAAAAAGTTAGTGTTTATTATAAAGCAAAAGAAAATATACAATTGTATTTCTTTTATTTTTATATTACATCGTAAATTAATTTATCCATCATATGCTTTTTATTTTATCTATCTTAATTGTATAAACAACATTTCTAATGTGAACAGAATAAAAATAGGAGGGTAATTTCATAATTGTTAATAATGACACATGACACATGCTCGTTACTTTTAAATACCTAATAAACTCTTTTTAACTTTTTTTTTTTCCAATATCTATCACATCATTGAACCTATCAATAATTTGCATGTAAATCAATGAAATGTAGCACTTATAAAAGACGGCCATGCTCCCTCATCAACCACGTCCCCTCCCTTTCGTTCTTTATGATTCATCACTCATTTGATTAGAAGGTGCCTCTGAGCTAAAAAAATCAGCTGTTGTAGTTCAAACTATAATTTATTCGTGTGTGCTTCCTACCCTCGATACTTTATATACCCAACTATCGTTCCAGCTTTTTCATTTTAATAGTTTTCAGAACTGTCACTGCCTCCTGTATGGTCCAAATACTTGGCTTTTTGAATTATTAGCTTCGTTTGTGTTTGATATGATGTTGTTATTACTTAATGTTGTTTTCTTTTTGTGTTTGTGACTGTCTTCTGTACTCTTTGTTCCTTCTGTATTTCGTCCTAGATTGAAGTTTTTAAATTTCTTCATTTGGATATGTATTATCTTGGAAACAGAGCAATTCATTATGTTGCTTTGGTTTTGGCTTGAGTTTTTTTCTTCTTTTTTTTCTGCTTCGAAAGCAAGCCTTCTTAGCTCACTTCTTTTACTTAGTAAAATTATATTTTGGTTCTGTGTGGAGATTATTTGAACGAAAGCTGCTTGGGATTGTGCCTTATTTAGAAGTGAGAGATTCCTGTATTGATGCTATACAACAAACATGTGAATGCCGAAAACAAATGAAGAATTATATGACACGAATTCAATACGAAACATAAAATTAACATAAAACACCAATGTTAAAATAAAAGGGAGAATGGAATTAATGAATGTTTCAAAAGCATGTATGAGTGGTGTTTGGCCCATTGGTAAAGTTGCTTCCTTTTGACGAAATAGCGTCTTTACTTTGATTTTTTCGGGAAAAGTTTAAAAATTAAATTCAAAAGAATATTAAAATTAAATATAAATGAATAACATGGACATGTGTAGATCGACATTGATAAAGAGTGATGGCTGAGTTTTAGTTTGAGGTTCATGGTTTATTTTATTTGCACTTAGGTTCTTATCTTTGTTGATAACCCACTTGTGTGTTCTGTCTGACAGATAATTCTTTTGCTGCAAATAGCAAGATGGTTGGAAGTGTTGATGTTTTAGCTTGTGATTTCAGCATTAATGGAACAATGAAACCGTTGCCTGAGAATTTCAATTCCACGGCGTTTATAACAAATCATGTGCCACTCGTAGTTGGAGAGAATGGCATTGGCAAGGGAGAGGCTCAGAACGGTATAGAAAATGGGGAGAGAAAGATTGTCCTGGGAAGAAATATTCATACCATGTGCCTTGAAGTCACAGAGCCTGATATAGATGATGAGATTACTGGTGAAAGGGAAGCTTATATGGCAAGTGTCTTGGCTAAATACAAAAAATCTCTGACTGAAAGGACCAACTATCATTTAGGTTTGATACTATATTTGCAGCTGCAATAGACATAGTTGGTTCCGTAATAGGTTATCTCATATACTAACTAATCTTTATGAAAAATCTATCACAGGTTACCCCTATAATTTGAATTTTGACTATGATGCACTTTCTCAACTTCAGCACTTTTCCATCAACAACTTGGGAGATCCGTTTATTGAAAGCAATTATGGTGTACACTCCAGGCAGTTTGAGGTTGGTGTTTTGGACTGGTTTGCGCGGTTGTGGGAATTGGAGAAAGATGAGTACTGGGGCTATATAACAAACTGTGGCACAGAAGGCAATCTTCATGGAATCCTTGTTGGGTTAGTTTCAGCTCTTTTTGTGTATGTTGTTGAAATTAATATGCCTAATGTGGTGAAATGACTTATGCAGGAGAGAGGTTTTCCCAGATGGAATTTTATATGCCTCACAGGAGTCCCATTATTCTGTTTTCAAAGCTGCTCGTATGTACAGAATGGAATGTGTGAAGATTGACACTCATTGTTCTGGTGAGATTGATTGTGATGATTTCCTGGCCAAGCTTCTTTGTCACAAGGACAAGCCAGCGATTGTGAATGTGAACATAGGCAAGTTTCTCCCCCTCTGTCACTCCCTTATGCCCTCTCCTCTCTTTTTGATCATTCTCTCACACTCAAACATTGCAGGTACAACTGTGAAAGGAGCCGTGGATGACCTTGATCTTGTCATAAAGAAACTTGAGGAAGCAGGATTTTCACATGACAGGTTCTACATCCATTGTGATGGAGCTCTGTTTGGTCTCATGTTGCCTTTTGTCAAACGTGTAAGTCTTGAAATGTCACCCTTTTTAATGTTCAATTTTTCGTTGCCATCCTCCTCTTCTCTGACACACAATTCAGAATCTGTTATCCCTTTTGTTTTTCATAGTTAGTGAATGTTACTTTAACAAACAGCATTTCGGTTCTTACTGTAATGTAGTCCATTGTAAAATATTAGTGAAATGCATGCGTGTTCATCAACTAATTTCATTTTTCCTGATCTGTCATTGATTATTAAATGTTAATCGACCTGATCCAGTTAGTTCGATGATCATTTCAGTTTGAGAATATGTTTTTAGTACACGACTAGTCCTTTAATTATTTTTTATTCTAGTCTTAGTAAAGTTTTTTAACATGACTGTTATTACTATTTTCTAACAATAACGTGGCATTCATACAAAACATATCACTCATCACATCACATGAATTGTTAAAATAATCACTCACGTGATACACATTACATTATTTAAAAGAAATTAAAACGACTAAACCTAACAAAAGAGACAATTTGAACCACTTAAATACTAGTTCACTATATAAAAAATGAATTAAACCAAACAGTTTTAGTGGTTAGTGTTGGATTATCATGTTGGCAAGAACTGTGAATGATGTATGTATCATTAAGCGCTTGCAAAAAAATCAAATTTGGAACTGTTCCTGTACTTATGTAAATGAAGCCACGTTCTTGGCTTAACTAATTTTCCCCTCCTGAAATGTCAGGCTCCAAAAGTTTCATTCAAGAAGCCCATAGGCAGTGTGAGTGTTTCTGGGCACAAGTTCGTGGGGTGCCCGATGCCCTGTGGCGTGCAGATAACGCGATTGAAGCATTTGAAAGCTCTGTCGAGGAACGTAGAGTATCTTTCTTCAAGGGACGCGACGATCATGGGAAGCAGGAACGGGCACGCCCCCATATTCCTCTGGTACAGTCTAAACATGAAAGGGTACAGGGGTTTTCAGAAGGAGGTGCACAAGTGCCTGCGCAATGCACACTACTTGAAAGGTCGCCTTGTGGACGCCGGCATAGGAGCAATGCTGAACGAGCTGAGCAGCACCGTGGTGTTCGAGAGACCACATGATGAGGAGTTCGTGCACAAGTGGCAGTTGGCATGCCAAGGGAACATTGCTCATGTGGTGGTGATGCCAAGTGTCACCATCGAGAAGCTTGATGATTTTCTGAATGAACTCGTGCAGAAGCGTCAAGTGTGGTTCCGAGATGGCAAGTCTCAACCTTATTGTATAGCCTCTGCTGTGGGACAGAAAAATTGTCTCTGTGCTATCCACAGGTGATTCTTGTCTAGGTTGTCTTCTGCCCAACGTGTTTCTTCAGTAATGTGCTGGTTTCAGAGTATTTCGGTTCACCTGAAGTGTTTAAAATAAACAGAAGGGTAAAAGAGCCGTTATATATGAATATCCTATCTTGTATCAACATTTATTTTGATTACTGATATTTTTACAACGACTCTTTTTTATTAATATAATAATAATAATAATAAAAAGATTTAATAAAAATAAAATAAAATAAAATTATTATTATTATTATAATATTAAAAGTGAATTGTTTTTAAAGTTGAATGATATTAAGTTGTGAAAATATCATTTTTTATTTTTTTTCTTTTTATCTCTTTTCGTTATATTATTTATTTTTCTGGATAAGGATGGTAATGGAAATTTTTTTTATACAATGTTCCCAGGTGGAATTTGAAAGGCAGTGTATTAGAGATTAAAATTAAAATTTGAAAAAACTAAATGTAGAATGTGGCTCTCAAGAGAATACACGTGTCTTTTCTTTTTCAAGTTACTGTGTGATAACCTTATATATGGTTGTCTAGTTGGTAGAAGACAGGGACAATAATGGTGGTAGGGTTTACTCAACTTACTGTCACATTCGCTGTTCTTATCTATTTATTACTTCTAAATTCATGGCTCGTGTAGATAAGATAATGTATATTTTATATTATAAAAATAATTAATTATTACATCATTTATATTATGGATTGTTTAATTTTTATATTATTTACTGAATTTAAATTTCATAAGTTAAAATTTGGTTTATCGTTTATATTTTTTTTCTTTTAAAAAACTATTTCATAACTCTTTTTAGATATTTTTAAATTTTTCTTTTTATATTTTATTATTAAAATTGATTATCATAAAATATTAAAATAAATAATTAATTGATAGTAAATAATATACACACTAATATGTTATAATAAAAAAAATAAAAAGTAATAATAAATAAATTTTTTTATGTTAAGAAAATTGGAAAAATTACAGAAAAAAATTCATAAATTGTAAAGTGAAAGAGAAAAATATGGAAATGAAAAAAATGATAATGGAAATATGAAAGTAAAAATTAAAAGAAAAAAGTGTTAAAGTTAAAGTGGAAAAGAGAAAAATAAAATGAGAAGATAAAATGATAGGAGAGAAAAAAATATAAACGAAAAATTGTAAGAGAAATAAAAATAATATTTATTATAATATTTTTATAAGAAAAAAAATATGATGCTTAGTTTTTTATATTTAAAAATAATTTTATTTAATTTTTAAAATTTTAAAAAATTAGAAAGAAGTTCACATGAAATAAAATGTAAAGTATTAAATAATATAAACTATGTATTATATTAAAATTAATGTTATGACCAAGAATAAAAAATGGAAAATAAGATTAAAATTAATGTTATTGGCTTGAGCTTGTGTTTCCAACACGATGAGGGTATTCATTTTTTCCTAATCAAGTTACCTCATATCCAATTTGGTGCATATGACAACTTATTGTATTTACAATAACGTGTCATGTATTTGGGAGATACTTTATAAATTATTGGTAGGACAATTGAAATTGTTTTAAGAAATCGTCTTTTATCTATTTGTAGCTTCTTAATCGCAAAATTTCCCCTTATTTTCAAAAGATTTTAAACAAGAGACCTTACAAATTCATAATGTCACTCATTGTAATTTCACTTATATTAACCTTCAAAATTCATTTTGTGAAAATTATATTTGCTGCTTGCTTATCAAATTTGCTCCAAAGTAATTTTTGTTCCTAAACGAATTTATAGTTTAGCTTGTGTTTCTAAACGAATTTATTTAAATACACTAAATTTAAATTGTTTTTATTTTAAATTATTTAATAGAAATAATTTTTTTAATTGTATTTTTATAATTTTGATCCTTTAATTTATTTTAGATATTTAAATTTAATGATCAATTAAAATTTTGTTAACTTAAATAAAATATTATATATAATATTAAGTCCATTTAACTTTTTGTTATAAATATATAAAAATAATCATTAAATATATGGGATAAGAATGTTTAAAAAATATTTTTATTCTCTTATTATTTCATTTTATTTCACTCATTTACTTATTATATATGTTATTTAATCTTTTTAACCAAAATCCATCAAGATTAATAAAGATGAAAATATTAGATTAGGTAAAACTAACAAGTTATCAACTTGCCTCCAAGGTCAATATTGGTTTTGTCAATATAGAAAGTTGTGGGTTAGCAATGTGATCCCACGTATACAACCGGAACACTTACCCTATGATAAAAGTATAGATTGAACATTACTTTGGAATGGAATATGAGGATCGTAATAATATCTAAAATGCACATAAAAAAATTAGGTGGTTTCACTGTCCCAATTCCCTATTAGGTCTTTCTAATATATCCAATTTATTTATATAGTTTATCCACATATTTTTTTTTATTGTAAATAAAATTAACATCATAATTTTATGTATCCATGGCTATTCATGTCATACATGTATATATTTTTATCTTAGTGTCATCCTAATCCTAATCTTAATTTGAATCATATGATTAACAATTTCATGTTTATAACATGAATTTTACTTATATTCTTGTCATAATATATTCATAATATATTATTATAATCATCCTTTAATATTTCATTGTTTAATTAACATAATTTCTTAGATTTTTTTCAAACAAATTGTTTAATATATATATATATATATATATAGGTATTTTATATTTATTATTTTAATTTTTGTACATCCGATTAAGTTTCAACATCAATATAAGAAACGTAAATTTACATCAAAGTAATTATTTGAGAGAATTCATTTCTCTCCTTTAACTACAATCTTGTGAGATTTACAATCGGTGACTATGTCTTCTAGTTTTTTCTCCAACAATGGTGATGATAGTGGAGAAGTGGTGGTGGAGGAATGACTTCTTCCTTCTTCTCCTCTTTTGGCTTTTTTTCTCTTCTATTGGTTTTTCTTAGTGTTTCTTCCTTCTTATCTTCTTGTGTTTTTTTGGATTCTTCTAAACTTTCAACAACAACAATTCAATGAAGATAATTATGTATTATTGAGATCCCAAAAAATAATCATAGTTTCAATATCAATAAAAAAATAGAGATATAAAACACTAACCTTAATCACATAGTCTATGCCCAAATATTCCTTCGAGAATAAATGTTCAAAACCACCCCATGAGTCACAATTATAGTGTCACTGCAACTCATCATAGCAAAAAAATGTTCAAGAAGCTTAGTAGTTGTCGTTATTGTAGTCACTCAACAAAAAACTCTCGCGTATAGGAGAGAACAAATCACTAGATAAAATAAAAAATGAATTTTGCTTCGGACCTATTGAGTCTTTCAAGGAGGCTAATAATAGGAGAATTCTTAACAATAAGGCACAAATAAATCATATAAGAGAATATGACATCACCTTCAACAAAAAACCTTAAGACATTAGGTTATAAGTATTTCTCACTTATTAGTTACTAAACTTTCTCATTTCTATCAAATGTAGGACTTCATACTCGAATTCACAATAATCTCCTACTCAAGTGTGATTCCCTTTCACATTGGAACACCATCCCCTCAAGCGAAAACATTTCTTAACCATGAGTACTCAGTAGTAACCTTATTTGTACCGTCATTGAACTCAACATGATTCGCTTGCCTGAAACTCATGTCAAGAATACTTTCGACACAAGTATCCATAATCTAGGATCTATCACCTATTCTAAATCATACTCAATCAAGTCAGACACCAAACGAATTATCGACTCTAATACCACTGTTGGGTCTTTCAAACAGAATGATTCTCAACAGTGGTATACGAGTCAACTATATAAGAGAATATAACACTACATTGAACTCAAAATCTTAAAAGATTAGGTTATGAGTATTTTTCATTTTTAAGTTACTCAATTTTTTTCATTTCTACTCAATATAAGACTTCAAACTCACACTTAAATTCACAATAAGACTATATGTGATCCAATATAAAAAAGATAAGTTTCAATTTAAAAAATATCATTGTATTTTTTGGTTATGTCAGGATTGTAAATAATATGGTGATAAAAACTTACATAAAAAGCAAATTTTCAACACAATTTAACCAATAATAATTCAATTTATTATAACAATTTGTCAAACACAATGGATTAAAGTTAAATTTCTTCTTCATCCCATATAATTAAACTTATATTTAATTTTAAGGTATTAACATTCATAATTAAGCAAGTTTTAGACAACTAAATTTGTACACATGATACAAGTTAATCATTTAGTGGATAAAACGAGTTAATCATAGGATAGGTGAGACGAGCACGTGATATGAATTTACTAGACAATCTAGTTATTGGAAAGTTAGACGAACATGCTAGATGAGATGATCATGAGGTAGGTTACACAATTGAACTAGACGAATTAATCAATGATAGACTAGATAAAATCGATAAAATAAATTGATCATATATAAGCCAGACAAACATAATAATGAGGTAAGTCTTATAAACTAACAAGACGAATTAATCATAGGTTCCAGAAAACGGATTGCCCATGACTAATTAATTAATCATAAATAATATAAATGAATAAATTCCTACTTCTTTATCGAGATGTATCTCATTGGTTGACTAACTTATTCTACTAAATATTAAAGATCAATGTATAATTTAGTGATTTATTTCAAGTATTTATACTTTCTTATAGAGAATCCCTTCCTAAAAATATCACTTTCAATAACCATTTTGTTTTTCTTTAATTAAGTCTTCTATATTATAATACTATATGCCGCATCAAACAATACTTTTTTCATCTTTACTATGGTTCCACACTTGTTAATTACGTAATAGCAGAAGATAGCACGTTTTGTATATCTTTCTCAAAATTTTATCTAATAAAATGGGGGGTTTTCATGTAGATTTATTTATAAATATTTTAAGGTGTCCACCATCGCTGATACCACTTTAATGGTCATTTCATAATTGTTTATACAAATGTATGAAATTTGTTATAGACAAAAATATATTATTAGCAAATATAATTAATAATTAATAATTTATTATTTTTTAAATCACATGTTTTTTTCTACGAGGAACATTCTATTTTAATATAAAACATTTATAATATGGTAAGTTAGCCAGACAATTTTTTTAGTACATAAAGCCCTAAGCAAATACTTATAGAAACCAAACATATCTTTCCCTATATATGAATTTTCTTTTGGTGTGGTATATATATATATATATATATATATATATATATATATATATATATATATATATATATATATATATATATATATATATATATATATATTTCCTTTAAATTATGCCAAAAATTCAATCCTATAATTTTAGTCGTAAACGGATAGTGGCTTCATATGCTATAATTTTTTTAGAATAATGATCTTAATTCTAATATTTTTAGAAGTTGGAGAATAACTTTTAAAAACTGTAAAAAGTAAAGATATCTTTGAGAAAATTTCATATATTAAACGAAGAAGCCAAAACCCAAATATTAAATTTGGATAACAGATCTAGTTAAATTTTCTTGACCATTGAGTAGAAAAAGCAACAAACACTACAAAATAATTAGTTATTTTCTGTAATTTGTTTATAAAAAACTATTTAAATTTATAGGAAATTTATTTTTTGCAATTTTTATAAAAAATTTGCAAAAATATTTTCATGAAATATAAAAATTTCTAGTAGTGGAACTTTTATATATATATATATATATATATATATATATATATATATATATATATATATATATATATATATATATATATATATATATATATATATATATATATATATAGATAGATAGATAGATAGATAGATAATTTTTTTTCCTTTTTTATATTTAAGCCTCAGTCTTTGCTCCTTCTGCTTTGGGCTTCTCTTCTTCAATCTTTACCACCTCAATTTTAGGTTCTTCAGCCTTTACTTCTTCTGTCTTCGGTGAGTCTTCTACTTTCTGCCAATTCAAGGTCACAATTATTAATAGGGTAAATAATTAATTTAGCAATTACATTTGTGTGATAGAGTCAAATTAGTAATTTAAAAGAATGAAAATTTATATTTAATTGGTGAGTGTATATAAAATTTAAAATTGTTTTTGATATTATATTTTTAATGATAAAATAGTCCTTGTCAAATTAGTTCTTAAATTTATATTTTTTAATGATGAAATAATTTTACAAGGCTTAGCAATAGGGACAATTATAGAATATTTCACACGTTTAAACACTAAAATATATATTTTTTAAGAATAAATTAGTTATTTTCATCAATTATTTAAAAAATTTACTCTATCTCATTATCTTTAATAATTTTTTATTAGTGTTTTTCCAATAATACCTTTATCATTTTTATATTTTTTCCAATCAAAATATTCTTAAATAACTTATATATTATCTCTTCTCTTTCTGTTATAAATATAATTAAAAGATGGGGTGTAATTGATAAACGAATAATTAATACAATTTTAAAACCTTTCAAACATAAAATAACATATATTTTGAAATAATGGGAGTAATAATTTCTCTACAATGATTCATAATAAATTAAGCTATAGTAAAGTAAAAAACTGTTTTAAAACAAACAATAACGCAAAACACAATTTAAGTGCAATTTTTAGATGATTTAAGTGTTACTCTGCTATCAAAATTAAAGTGTTACCTTCATTATTTGTATAATAAATATTTACATTAAAGATTTTACTTAAGCTATGATGTAAACCTCTAATGCAATTAAAAGTATTTAAAAAAATGAGATGTAAAATTTGTTCCAAAACCCATTAGGGAAATGAAAATGTAGATTGTAACATGAAGGAAAAAAGAAGAACCTGGTTGAGCAAGGTTCTGAGAGACTTATTGTCGGAGTCATTGGTGGTTTCCTCAGTTGTGGTCTCAACATTTGCTTCACTCTGGTTCTGATCAACCTTGACTTCTTCAGTCACAGGCTTAGGCACATTCTCAAGACCCTCCTCATTGGTCTTGGGATTGCTTCCACAGTTTCCCATGAAAATATTTGATATAGGGAGAATGAATCAAGGTCTCTCTCACTTGATCTTCCTCCCTCTAAACTCAGAAAGGCTCAAGGATTCTTATTGGTGTTGCTGCTTAATCCTTCCAAGCCTTTATAAACACCTCCTTTCTCGTTTCTTTTGGATTCGTTGCGTAGTTAACCATTGGCTCCCAAAATTTTGAGGAGACCAATGGCCCCTATTACTTTTAATTCTCTTTTATTAAGCAAGGATTTAATATTCACCTTTCTGCAATAGCTTTAAAACCATGGGCTCCGGTTATGGTATGGTATGACATGTTCCACTTTACTTTATCAACTTAGGAGTCCCACATTTATTAGGAGTAAAATTGAAGATAGTTTATATATATTTTATTTCTTTACCTGTTGAATTGTTTCTTATATATAAAATCATAATAAATTAATTAAAGTTTTAAACAAACAACTCTGTAATAGATATTGCTAATTAGAATGATATTTATTTTATTTAAATTATTTTAATGATACGCGCTTAGTCACAAACACAAGCAACCCTGGCTTTTGATTTTGTTCAAGGTTTAATTCGTGTATTGGTAAAACTCCTGGAGATTTGCAAAGCTGTGTTGGCCCTACGAACCAATAAACACATTTATGATTCTTCAAATTAAACTTAATTCTGGATTAAAAATCTTCTCTTAACTCTAACTGGTTAAATGTTTTTTTAATCATTAATTAAAAAAATTATTTATGTTAATTATACTGTAGTGGAGTAATAGAAACAATGTTGGTGGAGATGATCTAAACAACAATCACGTTTTATTGACTTTTTTTTTCTAATTTCGAAAAATGTAAAATTATATTAATTACTTTTTTACTAATTGTATTGTTATCTTGTTAATTATATTATTATAGAGAGAGAGGATAATAAATGATTGAGAGTGATTTATATAGAGAAAAAAAAACTAACAAATTTATTAAAATGATAAAAAATGAGTTTTAAACTTATTTTATATAAAATTCCATGTTACTGAAAACACTTTTAAAAATATTCATATATTTTTTAATATACCTTAAGAGAATAAACATATATATAGTTGTCGACTTTAAAAACAATTTTAATGCATTAAAACAACCCCGATGTTTAGCTACAATATTTAATGATTAAATCATGTTTTTAATAAATTAAAATGTTTTTTTGTTACAAACTCAACAATTATAAAAAAATTTAACAAATTAAAGAAAATTTTAATCCATTTACGTAACATTTTAAACAAAACAGAAACACTTCCAAAGTAATATTGTTCGTTATTACTCCAAGATCAATGAAAAAGGATAATTTATAACAAACTAAACTCAAAATTACATCCCAAACACAAAGATACAACACAAAACTAAAAACATCATTATCATCTTAAGTAAAGTTAGAACATCAAATTAATACTCTTTGAGATTCATTGTTCAAGTTCCCATCCTTCCTTGTCTCTCTTAATTAATAATGCTGTTTTATTTTATTTTTTGTCTAACTCCATCATTTAAGGTTATATTCAATATGAATATATGTAAATTGTAATTAAACTCTAACTTGTCTGAAATACTAGGTCTGCTTTTTTAAATGTATTTTAAAGTATTTTTCATAAAATAGTCAGTTATTAACAATTTTACATATTTAGATAAACTTATATAAAAAACGAAAAATTATTCCATTTAGAAACAAGTATAATAAACAATTCTGTATTTTTTTTTTCGTTTCGGTTTTATTATAATCAATTTTTTAATTAATACAATACAAAGAGACTCATTAAGAAAATGGTCACAAGACTAGTCATGTTACGTTTCGACATTAACTATACATTGATGGTCAACGAGAGTTAAACGAAATGTTAAAAAAGTATGATATTTTAACAAATTATTTTTCATATGCAACTATTTATAACACTCTTATAATAATATAATAATAAAAATATAATATAAAATATTATTATTATTGTTGTTATCATTATGATCATCACGTAATTATATATAAAAAAATTGATTATCAAACATTTATTTAATTCTAAAATATAAAATGCCTTACACTTATATATATATATTTCTGTTTTTTCTTGAAACTTAAAATCAATTTACTACAACAGTTAAGCAAAGATGAAAGATTCATTGAAAACAGTGCAGGAGTTGAAACCAGCCATGTTGATGGTGCTAACGCAGGTTGCAACTGCTGCTGTGAATGTGTTTTACAAGATGGCCATAAATGATGGAATGAGCATTAGGGTACTCACTGCCTATCGTCACATTTTCGCAGCTGCTTTCTCTCTTTCTCTTGTTCTTATTTTCGAAAGGTATGCATTGAAAGCTATCTTAATTAAGAATCCAATTATAGTTGAGACTTTTAGACTCATGCTATATTTATTTTTCTAGTTGATATTAATTTAAAACAGAAAGAACAGGCCAAAGTTGACGTGGAGGGTGCTTCTGATGTCATTCTTTTGCGGTCTATTTGGGTATGCATGGTTCATGTAGACTCAAGTCTTCATCCCTTAATATGCCCAAAGATTTTCTTTGAATATATTTTTTCTTTTCCCGTTTATTTTTCAAATGCACTGCTAAATTTTGAAGTTATTAACCGAAGTGATTGCTGTTGATATATGTGCCTTCTATAATATGAACAGAGGGAGTTTGGCGCAAAACCTTTATTTCATTGCTTTGGCATGGGTTTCAGCCACATTTGCTACCGCCATTTTTAATCTCGTTCCTGTGGTTACTTTCATCTTCTCCGTTTTGTGCGGGTACGTGGTCAACACTCTTCACCACTGTCATATATTCATTAATATGTCAGTTTCACTTTATAACAGTTATTATAACTGCTGAATATGTGTTTCATTTCTCTAATTTATTGTTAGTTTTTTACGACTATTTAATAAATTTCATGACTTTGGTGTTTTATATGAAGAAATATTTCTTATAAGGTTTCAATATTGGAGTTGTGTTTATTATCTTCAAGATAGAAATGCAAAAATATTTTATTCTTAAATTATTATATAATATTGTATTATTTTTTTTATGAGATGAAATTTGTCGTCAAATAATAAAGAATTCCTCACAAAACTCATTTTGTGAACAAATAACAAAATTAGGCTTGTGACGATTTAAGTCGTAACAAAAATCATAGTAGCTTAAAAGAAGAGAAAAATATTTAGTTTAAAAAAAATATTCGGGTTTCAAGAAAATCTGTCAGTACACACTTATTCAAACGACTTATATATTTGTTTAAAGATCCGTTGTTACATACTTGTTAAAGTGATTTATGCATCACGCTTAAGCGGATAAGACATAGATTGTACTCCCATAACTCATACTTGAGCGACCATGACTTCACAAAATTTTAAAAACTCACTCAAAACTCCCTTAAACAAGGTCAATCAATTTGTTAAGTTAGATAAAATTTTCGTTTAAGAAATCATGACTTAGTAAAATTTTAAAATCTTACACGATTTCGCTTAAGATCAATCTCTCATTTAAACTAGGCAAGACAAACAAAATTTTGGCTTAAACAATTATGACTTAATAAAATTTTTAAAAATTCACTTAACCACTTAAGTAAGATCAATATCTTGCTTAAGCTAGACACAATTTTTACTTAAATTAGGCAAAATTTTCAATTAAGTGACAATGATAGGATCACAAATTAAATATTTTTTAGTTTGTCTCTGTCATAGAATAATTAGTGACGAACCATTTTTGTTACAAAATTTTGTCACTAAGATAAATAAAAATGTATATATGATTTTTGTAATGATATTTTTTGAGACTACATACAATCAACACAAATTTTATCATAAAATCTATATACTTTTAACTTTGTTGTCATAATTTGTAACAAATTTTTGTTTGTCACAAAATGATGTTAAAAAAATATTATTTTTTAGTGTCATAAGAATTAATCATTATATTTGATGGTATATTTAAATTTTTTAAATAACAACAATTTTATTTTTAAAAAATATATTAACAAATAAAAATTGTTTACAAACTATCTTATAAAACTTATAAAGTGGTGATTAGATTCAAAACTAATATGCAAATTCAATATATTTTAATGCATGTGAAGATTTTCATTGGGCTACTTTTGCCATGCTATGATGAGAATTTTGTATATTGTGTGAAAAATATATTTAGATTTGTATTACTTCTTGTACTTTATGATATTGGCATTTAGAATAAAGATGTTATTTCTAGTGATTTTTATTTCTTTCCAATTCCAAGAAGAATTTTTACTAATTTCAATATTGATATGGTCATCTCCATTATTATATACATTATTCTAATATGACATATATGCTATTGTAAGTTACTTTCTTTTTTCGGAGACTTCTAATTTTTTTATTAAAATAAAATTAGGTCATTTTAGAAAAGTCATTAAAGAAAATGATAAAATATTTGTTGTTGTTTAATGACACAATTTCCTCATTTGTTCATAAATGTATATGTGGATTGATTCTAACAAGTCTTTCGATGTCCATGTTTTGTTGATTGAAAAATATCATTTGTGTTGATTTTTGAGACGACACCCTTCATTGAATTTATTATTTTCTTTTAAGTATGACATACCTCTCATCATATTCTTCTAATATAATAGTTTCGAAGCAGGGGCGTTAAAATGTTCAAACTTTTGATGTCAAAACAATGAATCATCAACTTGGACATTTAAGGTAATATCAATAGTATATTTGAATTTTATAAGAATACTTCTATTTCTTTTCACCATTAACTTCACATTTCTTCCATCTTTTGTTGTCATAGATTGTGTATGTACATCATTTGAAATGGAAAGTATAACCTTTCACCATCATTTGACCAATACATAATAGATCTTTCTTAAGATTAGAAACGAGTAAAACAAATTTTATGAGCTTTGTACCCTTTTTTCTCCTCATCACAATAATGTCTCTTCCTTTTGACTTCACGAGGGTGTCGTTTCCCAATATAACTTTCACTTCGACAAAATCATCAATATCTTTGAAG